GCCAGCAGCACCATCGTCGCAGGGTGCAGCTGCGCGACCTCCCTGGCGAAGCTCTGCCTGGTCACGCTGCTGAGGGCGCACCAGACCGCGCCGATCCAGCAGATCAACAATGCGGCGGTGGACAATGCGAGCCTCCAGGCTGGTGAAAGCCGAGGCACCATCGCGCAGCAGCTGTCAAAAGCGCACACCAAGCTCAAGGACGGCTTCGCGCATGCGGGCCATCCCATCAGCATTGCACAAGACGGCCCACGCCGCCAACCCCACCCAGCTCGACCAAGGACTCCCCCTCACGTCTGCTCCTCCCGCACGGCTGGCAAACTGAAACTCGTCCGTGGTGGTTGTCGCTCTGGCGCGGTGCTCGATGGCACGCTAGTTCGGCGTGGTCCTGCGAGCTTTCGACCACAACCCCCGCACTCTCATCCACGACATCCCCATAATCCGACCAGCCCTCTGGGCCGAGGTGGTTTAGAGCGTTTCTTCAACGAACCCATTTCTTCCCCTCAGGGTACATCCACCTGGGTCTGGGAGGGGGGCGCGATGTGTCAAATGGCCCTTCTGGGCCCAAGATGGCTCTAAGAGGGACTACGATGCCACAAGATGGCCTCCAAGATGACTGCTCAAGATAGCCGAAGATGGTTCAAGATTACCTGCATGCTTCCGAGAGGCCCCAAGAGGGCCACAAGACGGTTCCAAGTGCTCTCGGAGCCCCCAAGGACCCCCCCCCCAAGAAGCCAAATTCTTCAAAACCTCAGAAAATCAATGATGATTGCCTTCTCGCCGTTTGGCTTCCGATTGGCTTCTGATGCCTCAAGATAGCCCCAGGATGCCCCAAGACAGCCCCGAGAGGTACCCAAGAGGCCCCCAAGGTTGCCCCAAGAGCGACCAAGATCGACCCAAGAGCGCTCCAAGAGGCGATGTTGAGGGCCCCAGAGGGGCCAGAAGGGGGAGGGGGGGGAGGGCGGGCAAACAGAAAGGAAGGAACCCCATCCTTTGATCGATTGCCTCCTAGATGGCCGCAAGAGGCCCTTCGGGGATCCGAAGAGGGCTCCAAGAGGGCCTCAAGAGAGCCCCACGAGGGCCTCAAGACGGCCCCAAGAGCGCCCAGATTGCCCCGAGAAGCGGGTCGTCGTCCATACCCTCCTCCTCCTCCTCCTCCTCCCTCCTCCTCCTCCTCCCTCCTCCTCCTCCTCCTCCTCCTCCTCCTCCTCCTCCTCCTCCTCCTCCTCTTCCTTCTCCTCCTTTTCCTCCTCCTCTTCCTCCTCCTCCTCCTCCTCCTCCTCTGCATCCTCGGTTCACCATGGTTGCCCGTTTCGTTTCACTATATATATATATATATGTGTATGTATCTTCCTAAATGTTTCCCGTCAGCTCTCATGGGCAACGTTTCTGAATAGACTGGTGGGGATAGACAAAGCGTGAAGAATACTCCTTCTCGACCTCATCGGCTGCATTATCATTTACCTGCCCCACACACACATACGCACACCCAACCACACACACACACACATACGCGCGCCGACCTGCACAAACACAAGCACAGACTCAGACACCGACACAGACACATATACACACGCACACGCACAAACACACAAACACAGATCACGCTCACAATCATTTCTCCGCATATGTTCCATCGCCACCACCATCGTCACCACCATCCTCATCATCATCCTCATTAGCATCACCATCAGCATCAGCATCAGCTTCAGCATCATCCTCATCATCACCACCACCATCATCATCGCTCATCAGCAGCATCGTCATCATCAGCAACATCATCAACATCATCACTATCATCACCATCATCACCATCAGCATTATCATCAGCAGCAACAGCGTCGTCATCATCAAAATCATCAGCATCATCAGCATCACCATCATCAGCAGCAGCATCATCATCAACATAGCCAACACAAGCATCATCATCATCATCATCATCATCATCATCATCATCATCATCATCATCATCATCAGCAGCAGCAGCATCATCAGGGTCATGATCTGCAGCATCGTCAGCGCAGCGTCATCAACATCCTCAACATCATCAGCATCACCATCAGCATCAGCATTATCATCATCAACACATCGTCATCGTCCTCATGTTTACCAGCATCATCGACCACCTCGCCATCAGAATCAGCATCCTCATGATCACCCTCGGCATCATCATCATCATCATCATCATCATCATCATCATCAGCAGCAGCAGCAGCAGCAGCAGCAGCAGCAGTAGCATCATCATCACCAGCATCAGCAGCATCAGCATCGTTATCGTCGTCATCAGCATCACAATCATCAGGATCAGCATCAGCATCAGCATCAGCATCCTTATCATCATCATCGTCATCAGCATCAGCATCATCATCATTACCATCACCATCACCGTCGTTCATCATCATCATCAGCAGCATCATCATCATTATACCATCATCACCAGCATCATCATCATCATCATCATCATCATCATCATCATCATCATCATCTCATCACCATCACCATCAGCATCATCACCGGCATCTTCATCACCATCATCATAATCATCGTCATCGTCATCGTCAGCGTCATCGTCATACCCGTCATAATCATCAGCATCATCATCGTCATCGTCACTAGCATCGTCACTATAATCATCATCATGATCATCATGATCGTCGTCGTCTTGCTCCTCGTCAGCCTCATCCAGCTTCATCCTCTGCCTCCCCGTCCCCTCCACTCCGTCCTCTCTTTCGTCCGTATAGTTGTTCCCCCTACATCTCCCTATCCTCCCCGTCTCTCTCCCCTTCCTCATTCCCTCCCCCTCCTCCTCCTCCTCCTCCTCCTCCTCCTCCTCCTCCTCCTCGTGAGACCGCGGGGCAGCTGTCGACTGCCGTTAGGGAATGGACCTCTGCCGAGTGGTCGTCGGTGTCTGAACACACCCGAAGCATGGAACGGCCGTAGTAGTAGGTATAGTGCTTTAGAGAGAGCGAGAGAAGCAGCGATACCAAAAAAAGGCAGCAAAGGCAAGAAAGGGGTGACGTCGACTCCACAGACAGAGGAGAATGAACCAGAGAGCGATTCGGGAAATGGAGCGACATTGGCAGGGGAAGGATCGGTCAGGGAGTAGACGTCGAAAGAGAGTGGGGAGTGGGATGGGAGTGGGGAGTTGACAAGCAGGGGTGGAAGGAAAGGACGGGAGCAACTGGAAGGGAAAGTGGAAGGAGACATGCACCGTGGCCTCGTCGATGGGCACAGCCTGCGGGAACGCTCTGAGCGAGGGAGCTGTGGATACGTCCTCGCCGCGTTCCTTCCCACTCAAATCGGTCACGCCCTTCTCTAAGGCCTTATTCGGGTATACCTCTTACCTGATGCATGGCCCCGAGTGATACTGGATGATCCGGGCCCGCACACTGGGGGAAGCCAAGTGTATTTGGCGTCGGTGGCTCGATTGAGGTCAACGGCTCCGGCGCCTGGATATGCTACCCCGTCTCCGCTCGCTTCTCCCTGCCCGCAGCAAAAAGCAAACAAGACAAACAAGAACAAGAACAAGCAAATAAACAAATAAACAGACAAACAAAGAAAGAAACAAACAAACAAACAAACAAACAAACAATCCAGCCGTGGGTCGCGTGGTATCAAAGGCACGGATGGCCAGGACGGCTCGTTGAGGCGGTAACGGACGACGACAAGCTGAGCCGTCACCTGGACAATCCCGAAGTTGATGCGGAGTGAGGAGGGGATGAAGAATGAACCCGCTGACCCCCGCCTGCCAGGGGTGAGAGGGCGCGTGAGGATGCCGCCTTTCCCCCTGATACCCCATGCGAGGGTCCTGGAGTCCCCGTGGAGGCGGAGAGACGAGCCCCTCAGCGCAGCCTGTGGCTCCTCAGACAACTCCGAAATGGCGCACTGGGCCCCCAGGGCCCCCGAGGTTGGTCAAGTTGGTCCGAGGTGGCCCCGTGGAAGCCCTCGAATGGCCAAATTTGGCTCTGGGTGGCCTCAGAAACCTTTACAATGAAGCCAAGCTAGCCCCAAGAGGACACCAGAGGTTCCGAGATGGCCCCGCGGAGTCCCGAGGGCCCCAAATAGTCGGATACTCCGAGGTTGCTACGTGGTATGGTCCCCACTTTTCGGGTCGAGATGTCCCCAAAATGGGCTGCAGAGGCCTTCAAGAAATTCCCAGAAGCCTCCAAAAGACCCCCAGACGGCACCAGACGCCTCCAAGATGCCCCCAAGAAGACCCCTGGAGGCCCCAGCTGGTCTCCAAGACAGCCATCAAACGATTCCGAGACGGCTCCACGCCTCCCCAGCATGGCCCCAGGACTCACCCCACCCGGCCCCGGGGCCATCCCAAAACGGCCCCGGGACTTCCAAAGGGATGCCAAAATGGCCCCCCCAAAAAAACCCGACGAGGCTCCCCAGAGTGCCCAAGACGGTCCCAAACGGATCGCTATAAGCCCAAATTGGCATCCCGAGCAAGAATCGTGAGTTCCATCTCTTGGGGGCCGCCGAAATTTCGTGAGCCTCTGATGGAAAGGGAAAGGGGAAGGACTGGGCACCCCCGCCTCCTTGCTCAGAGCTTGCTCTGCCGTCGCGCGCCGGCCGACGAGGAATCGGACAGCAGAAGAGGTCATGAAGGCACGACCGAGGACGGAGCCTCGCGGGGGGGGAGAGGAGCAGCAGAGCGAGCACGAGTGGGAGCAGCGACGGGTGCAGCATGGGAAAGAAGACCGGCTGCGGCAGAAAAGAAGGACGACGAAAGCGACCATTTGGATTATGATGAGCATCAGAACAACGGCCAAGGCACCCACAACCGCAACGGCCACGACAACTGACACGACAACGGTTGCCATGGCCAAGACCACGACCATGAGCACGAGGAATACCCCGATCGCAATCGCGGACATGACAACCACGATATCGATTGCTGTCACCGCGGGCTCCCGACGACAATCAAGGCAACAGCAGAAAGGGAGGCAAGTACGAATGATGGCAACATCGCTCTCGGTAGGGAATCCGAGCCCAGCTAGGATCAGAGCTGCCTGCATTGCTCCCTCGCTGACGGGCTGCAACATCGGCGAGGTCACGGGCGACTTGGAGGCCACGACTGCGCGGGCGGCACTCGCTTCCTCCTCCAGCCGCTTCTGCTCTTCCCTCACGCTGACTCGTGTCCGCTCCCGCGTGTCCTTTACCCACGTGTCGTACTCTTCATGGCAATCTGCCCTCTCGCTCCCCAGGTGTAAAAAACACTGATCTTCCATCGCAGGTGCACATAAAGGCTGGAGACCAATCGGACTTCCGGAGCCAGGAGATGCATACGGAGCAATGGAAAACGCCCCCCGCAATCATGTATGATAAGGTTGAGAAGCTAAGCAATGTTACATGTCAAATGGCCGAAGGCCGCGTGCCTCAGATGAGGCACGTTGGCGAGTGGACGGCGCAAGTGGGCCATCCTACACCGCCTTCCACCATCCTGCTGCACCACCAGCCCTGGTGATGTCTCTCTTCTAGGGGGGGGAGGGGCATTGGAGGCCCCCCGCAGACCTGGGAGGCTGCTAGTACTGAAGGCCCCTGGGCAAGTGGGCGGCGCCAGGTGAGCCGTGGCACGCCGATATCCGCTGCAGACCCTTTGAGCTCCTGGAAGCTCGTGGGAACTCTGGAGGCTTCCTGGAGGCCCAGGAGACTAAGTGGGTCATCCCACAACATCCCCCTGCTGCTGCAAGCCATTGCCGTTGATAGAGCAGCGGTATCGCATATGCTCCATGTCGCTCTGGGGAACCTCACGGTGCGTGTATCAGATGCGCCTCCGTTTCGATCCGTGATGTGGCATGCATGTCGAAAGGCACGAGGGAGAGCAAATCACAAGGGGTGCAGCGCATATGTGTACCCATGACGATCTGAGGCGCGCCATCCACAGGCGCGAGCTCCGCGCTGCACGTGCCCCCCCCACCCCGAGATTATGGGTGCTGCGCACGTGACATGGGCAGGGCTGATCAAGAGGGATGTCCCCGTGTCACCGTAGGACTGACAAACAGAGGTGTCCCTCTGCTCCGCGGCGCCACCACGTGGTGTCAGTGCACCACGCAATATAATGCACCTGTCGCTCTGAGGAGGCTCGCTCGAGCCCGCCGGAGGCTGGATGCAACCTGAACACTCTCAGACCTCTTGCGGAGCCCAGGACGCTCTGGCAAATCTCTGTTTCGCATGTGCCGTACAGTAGAGGGAAACAGTTAGTGGACACTCCCCCTTCTCCCCAAAATTCAAGGTTGGCACTCGCGAGGAAGACTGCGGCCGAAGTGCAACTCACTAAACCCACCGCCGACTTTGATCATTGGGTGGCATTGACACATGAATGTGGCATGAGTGATCGCTAAGTTCTTCCGAGGCTTGTATTGACGGCGCCACTGCGGCACTGAACGCCGCTGGAAGCTAACGAGTGCCATCAGAAAAGATTCGATGCGAAGGAGGCCGCGCACGGGAAAGCGCAAGCAGCTACGTGCCGAGGGGGCAGGCGGCACCACGCCGCGAGCCCTGCATACAGACACCAAAAGAAAGATACATCTCGAGCAGCGCTAGCCGCGCAGACCAGACACAGGCATGATAATGATGCCGACGCGTAGGCACCCAGTAGGAGCTGATTGCTCGCCCACGGGCATCAACCATGGGGCACCAGAGGAGACCAACCATCAGGCCCGTAGTGTACCAACAATCGGGCACCGACCGTGGGGCATCCTGGGGTCGCCAAACCTAGGTCACCAACCACCAGCCATCAGAAGGTACCAAGCAGAGGGCACCACCCAAAGGGTGCCAACCGTAGGGGCCAAACTATAAAGCACTATCACTTGGGCACCAAACACAGGGCACCAGCGGTCGGGCACAAGCCATTGAGCACAAACCACTGCAGGGCACCAAGCATGGGACGCAAACCACAAGGCATCATGGCGCAACAGCCATGGGGCGCCACAAGGCACCAACCATGGTCAAAAACATAGGGCACCAGCGCGCAAGCGGCCGACCACGAACGCGAGGGCAAACTAGAGCACAAACCGTTGGCCAACGCAGGGCACCAAGCATGGGCACCCATAGGGCACCAACGACAGGGCACCAACCACAGGGGGGTCAATCAGAGGCACGATAGCCATGGGGCACCAGAGGGCACCAACGATGGGCACCATTCATAAGGCACCAGCGAGCGAGAGGCCGACCACGATCGCCGTGGGCGAATCAGGACTTCAACCATTGGCCACCACGGGGCGCCAACCACAGAGCACCAGCCATCAAACGCCAGCGCGCGAACGGCCGACAACGATCGCCAGGGACATCGTATGGCAGCGGCCAAGGGAAGCAGCGCGCGAACGGCAGGCCCGCCGACTGCCTGAGCCAGTCAGGGCACCAGCAACGGGGCACCACGGGGCACCACACAGGCAGCGCGCGAACGGCTGACCACAACTCAGCAGGATCAGTCCCTCGAGTAAACCAAAGTGCAAGCACTGACTGAGGAAGAAAACGTGACAAGGCTGTATGTAGTGGCGCTGCTAACTACACAATACTAGTCGCAGTCCCTGTGGTCGTCGTACTCTAATGTAGCACTAGGCCGCAACCGTAGCCGTATGGGTACCAGCAGCAAGACGAAGATAACCGTGGCATCTACTCACAAGACCTGCTGTTCGTCAAGTGCCATCGGTGTGGAGAGTAGTGTCAGCAGAGCAGCAAAACACACGCAAGAAGAGCTTGCAACCACAGAACTGATCAGCCCAACGGCAGCTCGGAAGCCGCGCGAACACAACAAGAGAGGTACGACGGGGAGGAGTGGGTGACGAGGATGAGTCCAAGGTGCGAAGGGCCATCGAGGCGGGGGCCTAGCGGCGAATGCTTCACCTTGGCCTTTGGGTCATCGTCCAGGCTTCTCGTGCGCCGCTTCCTCGGGGACGGCGGGCGCGCCACGAGCCCCCCCCGATTGCCCGCAGCGGCCCCAGAACCGCGGGCGCCGAAGACGAGGCGGGAGAAGGCGGGAGGAGAGCAGAGGCGGAGGTGGAAGCAGAGGCGGAGGCATGGACAGGCGGGGAGGGGAAATAGGATGAGGAAGGAGAGAGAGAGAGAGAGAGCGAGAGAGAGATAAAAAACAACAAAAAACAGCAACAAAAAAAGAAATACAAAAAAAACGAAAGAAAGAAATATAAAGAAAACGAGAAAGATAAAGATAAAGAGAAGGAGAAGAAGAGGGAGACGAGGAGAGAAGGAGAGAGAGGAAGAGAAACGGAGAGATCGCAACGATTCGGACGACGGGTCGTCCAGGCTTCCGGGCAGCACGTGCCAGGCAGGCCTTCCTCGCACAAGGGGCGGACGCCGCATATGGAACAGGGGTGGTGGGATGGCCTGCCCCTGGCTGAAGTGTAGCCCTTGTGGCTCACGTGGCTGATGTCCCATCTCCCCGAGTCGGCGGACGCGCGCACTGAGGGTCACTACGGACTGCGTCATGGGCGACATCATTGAGACCGGTTGGACCGTGGGCCTGGTGGCAACACTGGGCGGTTCCTGTATGGGTCTTTGGACACTCGGTGGGAGAGTCGCAGTGAACCACGGCGGGTGGACTGGCTGCAGCGTGGGCCTGGTGGCCCGCGTGGCTGATTCCCCCGAAAGTCCGCGGACGGTCGGAATGACGGTCGTCAGTCGTCGTCGTCAGAAGTCGGGCAGCCGGCAATCGGTCGTCGGCGGTCGTTCTGGAGGTCGGCGGACGGTCGTCGGACAGTCATGGGCGACGTAACAGAGGCTGGCTGAAGTGCTGGCCTGGTGGCAACACGGAGGGGCTCCAGTGGGGGCCTTCGGACACTCGGCGGGAGGGTCACAATGAACCACAGCAGATAGACTGGTTGCAACGTGGGCCTGGTGGCCCACGTGGCTGATGTCCCTGGGAGTCTACGGACGCTCGCACCGAGGGTCGCTGCGGGCCGCGCCGTGGGCGACGTCACGGAGACTGGTTGGACTGCTGGCCGGCTGGCAGCACCGAGCGGCTCCGTTGGCGGTCTTCGAACACTCGGCTGGAAGATCGCAGTGAACCGCGGCGGATGGTCTGGCTGCAACGCGGGCCTGGTGGCCCCCCTGGCTGGCGCCAGTGGTAATCGGCGGACTCCCACGGGGAGGGCCACCGTGAACCGCTACGTGCGGGCTGGGCACAGGTTTGGCCTGGTGGCCATGGTCAATTCCAGTGGCAGTCGGCGGAGGCTCGTTGGCAGGGCCGTGGTGACCTGGCACACGGGGGCTGGCTGCAGCCACGGCCTGGTGGCCTCCCTGCTCGGCGGATCGCGGGGCTTCGGCATGGAAGACGGCACGCAGACCACGTAGGGTACCAAGTAGGTGAGCACGGTGGTCATAAAGTTTTCCACGGGGAACGCCGCGAAGAGGATGAGGGTTACCCTGGTCGGCGGGGGGGCGTAGGAGTTCGAAGCGAAGAGCACGAAGACCAATCTGGACATCGCGAAGACCGACACGGAGTGCGTGGAGCTCATGCGCTGGAAGGTCTTCGTGCAGATCAGCCAGACGATCGGGAGGATCGTGCGCAGGTAGACCAGGACGAATCTGGTTGTCGAGAACGGGAACTCGAAGAAGAGGCTTCCCGCATGGACGAATTGAAAACGCAGCGAAGGACGTGCTAGCCGATGCAGTAGGCACGGGGCGAGGCAGCTGCCACCCTCAGGGGTCGGGCACGTCGGGTCGCTGCAATAGTAGGCGACGCGGTGATCACCGTTCGGAGCGAGGTCGGAGCGGCGGCGCACGACCAGGCGGCGCGACATCTGAGGGGTGGTGGTGCAGCTTAGCTACGCCCGGGGATGAGGCTCATCCGGCCTGCCCATGCGGATTTCGGAAGACCGCCGGGGGGTCTGCACCTGTGGCCGCGCTCTGTCCTAAAGGGACCTGGGCCCAGGCTGGAGATACAATTTGAGAGAGAGGGAGAGAGATGGAGAGAGGGGGGGACAGGGAGCGGGGGAAGTGGGGGTCAAGAAGTGGGAGAGAGAGAGCGAGAGAAGAAAGGAACACGGCAGGAAAGGGGAGGAGCTGTTGGGGTGACGGTTCTGTCACTGCTGGCCGTCTTTGGAGAGGGAACATTTTCCAGCAGCTGCCTTGAAGTACAGCAGTCATGCCCCGACTGGCCCCCCGTGGGCCGAATGGCGCCCACAGAAATAAATCGATAAGTTGTCGCTGCATTTGTACTTGGGTGTGTTTGTCGTCAGAAGGGCGGTATGGGACTGGGTCGGTTGGTTCTTGCTGATTTCAAAACTCTTGCGGGCGTCCAGGCGTGCCACTTGAGGAACGAGCCTTTCGTTGAATAGGTGAATGCGGTGATGGATGGGTATGGTGATCCCTTTGCGCATGAGCTTGCCAATCGACAACCATAATTCAACTGGCGCCTGGCAGGACGTCGATCCGAGCAGAAAAAAAAAATCTGGACGGCAAATGTCCCCCAGACAGCGTATAATGAACCGCCTTCTCCGACGTTATAGAACATCCGAGAGCCTCCCAAGGCCTGCCACGACCTTCTGGGACCTCCCGAGGCCTCCCGAAGCATTGCAGGGCCTCTCGAGACTTCTCTTCCCACAACCGCCCTGGGCTTGCCAGGGCCACCGTAGGGCTTCCCCTGTCCTCTCGGGGGGGGAACCCAAGGTCTCCCAAGGCCCCCCAGAACCTCCCCAACGCCATGTGTCACAGAGGGCGCGGCGCCCGCATGCGCCCGTGCCCACTGGTGCCTCAGCTGTGGCTCCCCGTGGGACACGAGCCGTGGGAAGGGGTGTGGCGGCTTCCGCTCGGGTGAGCGCGTGTGGACGCCCCCGCTGGAGCCGTGGCTGGGGCTCCTAAGGGGGGCACGAGCCGCGTGAGGGCTTGCCGACGCGGACGCGGATGCACGCTCACACGCACTTCGTGCAGCATATGGGGCCCCAACTCCAGTACCAGTGGGCACGCTCTAATTCGGACCGAAGCTCGTCTTCGCACACCCGTCACACACAAGCAAACACACACACACACACACACACACACACTTACACCCATGGTGCCCCCGAACTACACTGCCAGTGGGTGCGACCTCATTCGGACCGAAGCTCTTCCCAGCATACAAGTCGCACAAGCACACAGCGCACCCCAATTACAGTGCCAGTGGGCACGACCTCACGCTCATCTGGACACGCCCCTCACACATATCGTGCCGCATAGGAAGCACCGACTGCGGCGCCAGCTGGCACAGTCGCATTCGCGCCCACGCCAAACGCAGAGTTTCGGGTCTGCACCTGACGGAGGACTGGTTATGATATCAGACATAACAAGGGCACTGCTTCACCGGCTTTGGGCAGGCACACTGCGAGCGACCCTCCAGCTATGACATCCACCAGGTTTTCCCGCGATGCCCAACCTGGTTTTAGAGGAGTGCGAGCGTGCGGATTACTGTACGCCTCACCGTCTTCTTCCAGCGCGCACGACCTGCGGCGGCGCGAAGTCCACCACGAGGCGGCACAAATCGCGGCCACACTCAACTCCTTGCGCTGCAGCATCGTGCCGTGTGGTTCGCTCTCTTGTCCTTCACAGGAAGAGGAGAAGGAGACAGAAAGGTGAGGCCTCACCGGCTAAAAGCAGATCCCTTTCCGACAAACACACAGACACACATACACACGCGCACACACTACCCTCCCGTCACTGTCCATCCATGCCCCCCCCCGCACAAACACACACACACACACACACACACATCCCTCCCACCATTACACCACCACGGCCTACTTGTCTGATTCACGATCTGCTCGTGACTTCCTTTAGGCACTGTGCCCTCCAGTCTTCCTTCCCCTCTTGAACAAGCAAGCCCGGTCCAGTAGCCAGCCTCGTCGTCTTCCCGCTCCCCGAACTCCAGGAACGTGTTCTTTACCTCAAGCAGCAAGCATCGCGAATGAGGCATGGCCCTCTCTCTCCCTCACCACGCCCCGTTTCTCCCCTACATGTTCGCCCTCCTTGTGTTCGTTGGGCTCGTCGTCCTCATCGTTCTTGCCATGGCTTTCGTCAGCGGCTTGAAGACGCTCTGCTGAATTAGTTGTTCGCTGCACCAGGCAGGAACCCAGCGAAACGTCTTTCTGGGAACACCAGCGACAATAAGCCCGAGAGGCCCCGCAACAGACTTCCAAAGGATTCTCAATACGCCCTAAGCGGCACCCAAGAAGACCACGCGACCCCACTCGAGGCCCAGTGAGCTCTGGAGATCTCAGATATCTCGGGAGACGGCAGAGAACTCGAACAGATTGCCAAATCTTATTCGAGTGCGGGGCATTCTACGCCAACAGCGAAGGGGCCGAAGACGCGATGAGCAGGATGTACGCGCGGGCCCTGGCAGTTACCTCTTGGCAGGAGGCGCTGGCTGGAGCGCCCGAGCGCGCAGAGCCATCGAGCGTGCGCCGGGCCATGCTGGAGGCCACTCTCCTCGGCGACACGCACCCGCTCCGCGATGTCTGGTGGCGCGAAGCAGAGCTGCAGCCCTTGGAGGCCTGGAAATAGGCACCAACACCAACACAGGGGGTTGCCTCCACAGGGGGAAAATGATCCTAGATTTCGGTGTTGGTGGCGATAGTTCGGTCACCTTGGAAGCCATAACATTACCGCCATCACCGAGATCGGGATCTTCGTCCCTCGGTGGAGGCACGCCGCCGACATTGGTGTTGGTGTCAACCTGTAGGCCTGCGAAGCCCCCCTCCCCCCCAGCGCGCTGACGTCGGCGGTGGCCTTCGGCGCGTGGCTTGCCGACCAATGCATATGCGATGCGACGGTGGCCTGCGCGCGTGGGTTGACCCCCCCCCCCGCCCGCGCCGACCCAAAGCCACACACCAAAGTTCCCTCTGGCGAGTGGTCACTCTTGCAAGCACGGCGAGGACCTTGGATGAAGAACCAGTGGGAAGGAACCCGGGGGTTGGAAGCTGATGCTGGTGAGCTGGTGGAACTTCAACTGAGGCTTGGCCGTGGATGTCACTGGCGCCCTCCAAAGAGAAGGAATCCTCTGGGGTCTGAAACCTCCTGGGCACTGGCGGCGTTCAACCTGGAACGCCCGCAGCGGGGTCGCCGCCGCGTCGACACGACACGGACCTGCCGCAGGCGCACTCGGGCCCTGCCGCAGCCTCCCCTCGACCAGGACGCGCGCGACGCGACGGAGGGCCGCGAGGCCTTCAGTCGGAGCCTGGCCGACGCTCGGCCCGAGACCCACCTGGAGGATCGGGTCGGACGACCGGGGGGGAGATGGCAGAGAGGCTTAGCGAATCAGCTCGCGCGGCCGGCTTCCCTGGCGCCTCCCGGGCGCAGGAGGCGCCGTTGCGTCGAGGAAGGAAGGCGCCCGGCGGGGCCGAAGCCGGCCGCACGCAGCAGATTTCGCAAAACCCCATGCTCCCCCAATCGCCCGACACGTGAGGATCCAACACGCACACACACACACACACACACCCACACACACACACACACACACACACACACACACACACACGCACACACACACACACACGCACGCACACACACACACACACACACACACACACACACACACACACACACACACACACACGCACACACACGCACACACACGCACACGCACAAACACACAACAACCGGAAGAAGTGACGCCGGGCCACCAGGCGCTGCCGCCTCGAGGAGCCAGCCTGGTGGCTGGTGCCAGGCGGTCTGGTGGGGAAGCGCATGGGCCCCCACAGCGACGTGTCCGCCGCTCGGGTGCGCCGAAGAGAGGGGCCAGGAAGGCCCTGAGATCCACGCGTCGCGTCCTGAGAGCCACGCGTCGCGTCGCGAGCAAAAACACGCAGCTTAGGGTGCAAGCGGGCCCTGGGGAAGAGGCTCCAACCTTTGGGCATCCACGTCAAAAATCACGACGCCGGGCGTTTCTGGGAGAGGGGGTCGGCGCATCATGGCCTGTGGCGTGTGCGCGGACGAGGGGGGAGGGCCAGGGACACGCTGAGAGAAGGCGAAAGGGCCATGAGGACTTTCCTTCTAGATAGCGGTGGGCAACGGCGGCTTGCGTTTCGTTGCTTTCACGTGTGCGTGCATTGTTCGCATTGCTGCTCTCCGCCGAGTCCTCTGGCCTTCCCGCTACCTACCGCATGGCTGCTGCTGGGCTGTGTTCAGCCTCCTAGCAGGGCATGCTCGAGCCGCGGTCGCAGCCCGCCTGGCGCCTCGCGCCCGCGTGCGCCTCTGGCTTGCCCAAGAAAAGAGTATGAGAGATCTCGTGGCCCTGGACGTGATGTCCACAGCGCCCTGGTCCTTGCCCCCCTCTCAGACGCCCGGCTGGGGCGACCAGGACCATCTCGGGACCAGGGCCGGGCACGCGCGCTCGAGACGCCCTCGGGCAACACCCCGGGCCCCCAAAGTGCCCGCCCACCCAGGATCACCCCTGAATCATTGGACCAACATCGGCGGTGGACAAACCTCCCTTTAGTAAACCTCCCTTTAGTGAAAATGGCCTAGGACCGAAACCGACGGACCTGGACCCGCAAAAATGACGGCCGCGACGCCCTCTCGCGAACCGAAAACGGCCAATTCGCTAATCGACGCGTCAGGGTAGGAGGACCATCCACACCCGACAACACTAGAAATTGAAAAAACAGAATATCAAAACAAAAAACAAAAAAACACAAACACACACAAAACAAAAAACGGTACTTAAATCGGCACTGGACACCGCCGCCTGGCGCGCAGAGCGCGCCAGGGACGCTGATCCAAGCAGCCCGCGCGGAGTCCCGAAAGCTTATGCTCACACCGCTTTTTCCTATTTGAGTCCCTGGGCGTTGTGCTCACCAGGCACCTCCGAGACCCACTGCATGGCCTGGCGACTGGCTGCAGACGCCCTTCAGAGAGCGGCAGCCAGGTGCGCCGCGCGGCCTCCTCGAGGCACGAGGAGCCCAGGCGGGCGGGCGCGAGACGGCAGACGTCCGCAGGAGGCGCCGTCGGCGGGGCTCCGCGGGCACGCCGGGAGGACCTCGACGGAGGGAGCGCGGCGGCGGCAGCAGCAGCACAGGCTGGGCCGCAACGCGTCGCGCGTCGGGCTGCGCGAGGCGCGAGGCGCGGTCGTTCTCGCGCCCTCGCGCCGCCCGGCTGGAGAGGAGCGAGGAGGAACAGACCTCCGGCAGGGACCGCGGGGCGCGAAGGGCGGCCCTCCTCGCGACCCTACAGGTGGCGTGGGAGAAGCGGATCCAGGCCCCGGGGGCTCGCCGCGGCTTCTCCCAGGGCGCACGGGGGCGCACCGTGGCGCTGCAGCTCGCGAGCGGTGGGCAGGCAGCTCCTGCCCCCCCCCCCCCCGAGAGCGGGGACTCCACCGCCGGGCCACGCTGGCAGGCGGCCCCGGCGAGCGCAGCGCTTCCCAGCGCGAGCAGTGCTGCAGTGCCCACGAGAGGCCCTACGGCGGCAATCTTCGGCGGGGTTCCACAGCACTTGTTCGTGAGTGCCCATCCCATGCCGAGGATCCCCAGATGGCGTGTCAGCGCCAACGTGCGCCTGCCAACCGAAGCCCTTCAGCACGACGCAAGCGGCGCAGGGAGGGCCGACGCAGGCCGCGTGCTATCGGTGGAGCTCAACGGGACAACACACACGCTGGGCTAACTTTTTTCAAGGGGCCCTGGGAAACATACAAATGAATAGACACAAATCCCAGGATGCCCCATATCTTCCCATATTTTCTCGGCTTTCGTCATCCACCCCACTTCCCATATCGTCCCATATGCTCCTGCGAGTCGACGATGAGTTGGGTCTGTGTGTCTTTCCCCTTCTGATGTCTTACCGCAGCAGCGAGAGAGACCTCGCCGCGTTCAAAGAGACAGACGTGGGAGGCGCGTGGCCGAAACTGGGTGCGGCAGGCGGCGGGAGGAGGAGGAGCGCAAGGGGCGCGGGACGCGCGGGGGGGGGGGAGGAGCGCGCTCAGAGCGCGTGAAGTCTTGGAGTCCCGAGACGGTGCGGTGACAGACCGCGCGGTGCACTCGAAATCCTCCAGGCCCTCACCGCACGGTCCGTCAACGCACGGTGTTGGGACCTCGGGTGCCCCTATCGCTCGAGACATCCTCGGAGAACGACCCGAGCCCCAAAACCGTGCGGTGACCCCGAATCCCCACCGACTGACCGCACAGTGTGGTCACCATCCCGTTTGGGGGCCCCCGAGAAGTCCTTGTACGTGAGAGTGCCAGAGGGCGCGCACGGTGCGGAGGTGGAAGTCCTCAGAGGGAGCGGAGCTCGAAGTGGGCCAGAGGGGTGCACACACGTTGTGCTAACATCAGGTCGGACATATCCTCCTACAGGCGGATGCTGGACGAAACAATAAAAATGTTCAAAAACACCCCAAAATCATCAGAAATAGTCGAAAAATCGTCGCCTGACTATTTTTCGGCAATTCAGAGGGACACGCCCGACTCAAGGCGAACACCAGGGAGCCCACAGAGGACGTACGCGCCCAGGCACGTGCAAGAGCACGGCCCGCCCATCCGCAAGACTGGCCGCGTGATACGAACGTTCGCGCACTGCGCACTCTCGAGACCAGCGTGGATTCGTGTCCGCGCACAGTCAAAAATACGATCAAGAGAACCATCCTTTGAGAAATCTGGGCCAGCGTTCCGGCAAGTTCGTCCATAAAGTTGGGCCAACGTTTCTCTGTTCACGCCAGAGGGACGAAGGCGCTCCAGAAACCGATCCAGCTCTCCAGCAAGTCTGGTCGAGGAACGCTGGCCCAGCTTTTCGGGAAGAGGCTTCTTAATCAGATGCTCGACTGTACTCTCGAAACCCGCGTGGATTCATGTACGTGTGCGTGTCCGTCCTTCTTTCGCTCCCGAACGCACACGTCCCGAAGATCCTCGGCCACTGCGATGCCGCAAGAAAGCAGCAGCGGCCAGCGACGGCTGGGCGGGCGATTTTCGGGGGCAGAGGCAGCGCCTTGCCGCCGGAGGCCTGGATAACATCCTTCTTGTCCGCAGCCTTGGGCGGCATCGGGCACGCCTGCGCGGCCGGGGGGCGGGGGGCGACGAGCCCCGAGAGGCGAAGCGCAGCGAAGCGAAGGCGCTGGAGTCGGGCACGCGGGCGGCGGATTCCAGAAACCCTGGACCCCGAAAAGTCGTCCTCCCGTCGGAGGTCGACTTTTGCTGCCGCAAGCTTCCGCCGAGCCTCCGCCGGCGTCCGCTGGCGGAGCCGCCGCCGTTTTACTTCCGCCGACCTTCCGCCGACCTTCTGCGGAGGAAGAGATGGCAACTCCTGCGATCCTCGAAGGCGAGGCCCTCTTCTGGAACGCCTCAAGCGTGCCCGTAATTTCTTGGGCAGGGCGCGCGAGGCCGTGGCCTCATGCCGTGCACAGGGCGCCGCAGTGGGCGGCGAGCCCCGAGAGAGGGCGCGGCAGAGAAGCGGCTGGGCACGGCGCCGCCACTCTGCCCCAGGGCCCCCGACGGACGAGGTGCCCCGACTCGTACGCACGCGTCCCCGGAGAGGGGGCCTGGAAGGGGGGAGGAGGGCTCCACCGCAGCGCAGGCAG